AGCTTCTGTGGACAAATAGGGACCATGAGCCAGAAGGGCCCTGGCTCAGGGCAGAGACTGTATCTATCAGACTAGTCATGGGCGAGCAGGAGAAGCAGGGGAAGTGGGGGAGGACACAGCCTGGGAGGCAGAGGGTAAGCTGGGTCTTCCATCCTATCACAGCACCTGATACCAAGGAGCCCTCAGGGGGTGATGTGTGACACTGGCCTGGGCATTATGTGGCTGCAGTTTTTCATCTGGACACCAGAGAGCAGAGCTGACTCGCACGTTCCCTGTGGGATAGAGGAGGGGCTCCCTCTTGGGAGTGCTGGGTGCTCTGTGGGAATCAGCCCCAGGGCTCAGGGACCTCCCTCCCTCACCAAGAATACATGAGGCCATTCAGAGCCCCTGAGAGAGAGGTCAGGCCTCCGTCCCTCACATTCCATTTTTCCAGAACAGGCCAGTCCCGTTACAATTGTTCTTCAGTCTGACTAGATTTCTCAGGGCTGTGGTGACCAGTGTCCCCTCTTGTTCCAGGGAGTGCTCCCTCCTTCTCCTCTGCTAGAAAAGGACTTTCTCCGGGGGAAAGGATCATGCACATGAACGCCAGCCCATGCAGTGTTTGTAACCACTGTCCCCCAGCTAGGAGCTGTCCTCATGCCCATTTTACAGATGTAAGAACTGAGGCCATTGCAGGGTCACCATTACCAATGAGGAGCAGAGCCCCAGTTGAGCATGGAGTGGAACTTGGCTTGTGTGTGCATTCTCTGTGCGCTCCCTCCTCAGCCCGCCTTGCTGTAATAATGGCTGGTGCCCTTAATGGGAGAGGCGAGGATGGCTGGGCACCTCTGAGGTGGGGAGGAGAGACTGGCATCAGGCTCCGTGGGTCTGGAAGAGGGTGTTTTTGAGTCTTATATACTCCTCTTGTTGGGGGAGGGTTGCAGGCTTGGGAGCCAGCCCTTGCATGGGGCCTGGGACACTTTGGCTCCAGGTGCCAGTCCCAACCAGGGCGCAGCCTCTCATTTCTCTGGGCTCTGCAATCCCTGTTCAGGACTGACCGCTTCACCTTGATCACAGTGGGCCTCTAGGTGGGCGTGGTCCCCATGACACACCCAGCAAGGCTGCTGGTGCCCTCTCTATTGCTCCTGGGCGTGGGGAGGTGAGGCATAGCCAGGGCTAATGGCCCCTCCTTTGGGGGCTGGCCACTACACACACACACACACACACACACACACACACACGGATATGACACACATCCAGACATTATTAACACAGGCGCACATGGACACATGCACAGAGTTAATATGATACATACATGCCCTCCACACATACCCTGCCCCCAGACACAAAAGCCACACAGACATCAACTTAAAAATTACTGAGAGTAGATCTTAAATATTTTCACCACAAAAAAGAAATGGTAATTATTGGAGATGATGAGGTATTAACACTCTGTGGGACTCATTCACCATATGTGTGTCTTAAGTCAACACCTACAGTGTTAGGTCAGTTATACGTCAATAAAGTTAAAAACACCTGAAACACGATGTGCTTCTCTGGCATTTGGAAAGCAACAGGCCAGCACTGAACATGCTGAGGGCAGAGAGAAAGGTGGAAAGGCTGTGCTGGTAAAAAAAAAAAAAGAGAGAGAGAAAAACAAGTAATGTGAATTTTAAACGAACTGTCATTTTTAGGTACCAGAAATTGATTTAATTATTATGGTTTTTTAATGAAATGCCATTCATTGGAAAGGCAGCAGTGTAATACAGGGGTGGGCAAACTTTTTGACTCGAGGACCACAATGGGTTCTTAAACTGGACCGGAGGGCTGGAACAAAAGCATGGATGGAGTGTTTGTGTGAACTAATATAAATTCAAAGTAAACAACATTACATAAAAGGGTACGGTCTTTTTTTTTTTTTTTTAGTTTTATTCATTTCAAACGGGCCGGATCCGGCCTGCGGGCCATAGTTTGCCCACGGCTGGTGTAATATGTATGTATTTATTGAGTGTGTTGATAGTATCAGGGAATAACAGGCTCAATTCTTTTCCTTCATGTTGTTGAGGTGCCTGAAATTAGACCTTGATCCACATATAAACAGTAAATTACCTTGTTTATCCCTTTGTCTTTAGGTACAATTAAAGTGAACATACCCCTCTGACTGTGGGAATATTATGGCAGAGAATTTAAAGTGGATTCCAGGAGACCTGGGTAATATTCTCTCTCTCTCTCTCTCTCTCTCTCTCTCTCTCTCTCTCTCTCTCTCTCCTTCTCCTCCTACCCCCCTCCTTTTTTTTTGTGTGTGTCAGAAAGGACAATCAGAACACTCCAGACGAGAGAAAAATCTCTCCAAAGAGAGAGAGCCCTGGAAAGCAGCCTCAGTTCTGTGCGTGCAGCATGCTCCTAGAGAGGTTGCAGAGGGAGAGGGTAGGACTGAGGACGAAGGAGGAGGGGAGGAAGGCCAGGTAGCTAATTGCACAGTCATTTCATTAGAATTGTGTATGACACGTGTTTATATATTGCCATTAAGCTATGTGAGTGACGTCAATGATTAGATAAACAATGACTAGGTAACTTACATGTTTAAATAAAATACCCCATGATATTATATCGCTTTTTAATAAAAATAATATCTGAATCATGCTAATTTATTGATTTGATGGTTATATTGCAGTTGTATAGGAAAACATATTTATTAAAAACATTTATGTGAAATATAAGTTAAAGTTCTGGCGTGATGGAAGATCATATTGGCCACCTACTTTTACAGGTTCAGAAAAAACAAATCTGTACCGTACTTGCAACTTTTCTCTAAGTTTGATATTCCCTCAAAATAATAATAAAAAGGGTAAACCAAGGCTGGACGTTTATATAATCTGACCAAGGCCACCTGGGTAATAAGTGGCAGCACCAAATTGCAACTCAGGTGTGTCTTTGCTCCTGAATCCACACCCTCTTCACCAAGCACATGGCTCCCCACATCGCAGCTGCCTCTCCAGACCCTTCAAAATTGGCCCTAGAAGGTCCCTCCCTGGTCGGTCACCTGTGTAGCCACCTGCCTCCCTGAAGCCCTGCTGAAGTCCTTTTGCTGGAACTGTTCCCCACTGACCCAGCCTGTCCTCCATCCACCTGCCTCCTCCATCCACGTGGCCTGGCACCCATGTTAGGGCACGTGGCTGGCAGCTGCTGGGCAGCTGAAGCACTCAGTGCTCCAAATAGCTCTGGCTGGCTTCCTGTCCCTAGGAGCGGGGTTCCATCAGCTGAGCTCCCACTCCCCAAAAGTCCTCCGGCTCTTCCAGAGGACCTTGAGATTTTTCAAACCACTTACCAGTCAGCATGGCAATGTTTTCTTGTCTTGGTTCCCCACTGTCACCAACCCTACAATTTGAGATTCCCTCCTAATCAAGTGGCTTGAATAGGGGATCTCATCAATTAGGGCTTCGTGTACGATTCACCACTTAAGGACATCAGCATTGCAGGTTATCAGACATCGCCCACTGCCAAAGGCAGAAGCTGCCTCTCTCCTGTGACTTCCAGGCCCAGCCTGCCTCCCCACAGTCGAACCTGCCAGCGCCCAGCAAGGGGACGTGCACGACCTGTGATGCCACAGTTGTTACCTGTGACTCTGAGCCATGCACCCTCCTCCTCAGCCGCAGGCTCTAGAAGCAGGAGCGGGGAGGCCTGGGGGGCTGAGTGCTGGGCACACCCCGGGACAGGCCATTTGTTCCAGGTCAGCCTGGCCACCCTCAGCTTGAGCCAGGGTCTGCTCTGCCTGGAGCCACATGGACCCTTCCAAGCTGAGGGGGCTCTGGGCCTGGCCTGGCCCCACGGACATATACCTACATGGTGGCTGAGCTGCCCCCTTGCTCTCCTGGGAAGAGTCCATCCTTGGGATGCTTCCTCCTGGTGGTGGGCATTCAGGGGCTGGTGGTGCTTGCCGGTGGGTGTGTCACCCTCCAGGATGGGTGCCACGGCCAGCGGGGAGGGCTTCCTTGCCACGCGCCTTACCGGGCCCTGGGTGAGTGCCCTCGTCTTGCACTGCTTGGAAACTGGTGGAGGGGAGTGTCCCTTCTTCACACCTGCAGCTGCTCTTTGCAGGCTTCCTAAGTGCCCCTCCATGCTGAGTGCCCCTGAGGAAATGCGCTGTGTAAACAGATGGCTGCTTCCGGCCGGCCTCCCCGGAGTGGAGGTCCTTGTGACAGGAGCCTCTCCAGCGTGGAGAGGAAGCATGCTCATCTACCTCCGTATAAATGCTGCTGCCCACCCTCCACTCTGAGCTGGAGGCAGAGATCCACGTGGGCTCCGTGAGGGTGAGTGTAGCCCCATCCCCTGGTGCTGCCCATTGCAAAGGTTGCAGGAGGTGGGAACCAGCCCAGCAATCACCTTCTCATATTTTGCTGGGCTCCTCAGCCAGGTCCATTCCCACCAGGAACTCAGCGAGACCTGACAGGGAGCAGAAAACAGTCTGTCAAGAAGGGGTTGCCTGAGCAGGAGGTGGGGTCTCCCCATCATTGGCCATCTTGGAGTGGCCAGGCCATGGACCCTGGTCATCTTCATTCATCCTCAGGAACATGATCCTTTAGAACCTGAGAAGAGGGTGGCTGAGAGCATCAGGGGCAGATGGAGTGAGTGAGTGACCATATCGCTCCCCCCAGCAGCCTGGGAGGGCAGGGCAGGGTTGTCTCCAGGGTATGGAAGTTCCAGCTGAATGAAGAGTGGTAGTCACTTCACCGTGGTCACCCAGCAAGATGCAGAGACCCTATTAGAACCCAGGTCCTCTGGCTCTCCAGAGCTCTCTACCATGTACTCCTCACTTGCCCAGGTACCACACCACCTCATGCAGAGCAATGGAGCATGAGACCGTGTCAGATGTCAGATGATGCTGGGAATTTCCAAGGATGGTTTGGGTCCTCCCAGAGCTCCTGTCTGTACTTGGCCCTGAGGCTCAGCTGTGTGAGGGGAGGGAATACCTTTGCACCTGCTTCACGTGGCTGACAGCTCTTCCTTTCTACAGGAGGAGCAGCTGGAACAGGAGCCATGTTGCTGTACCCGTTGGCCCTCACCCTCATTCTGCTGGTGGTCTCTGGCATCGAGTGTGAGCTGAAGGAAGTTTGTTCTGGAAGCCCGGGCATCCCTGGCACTCCGGGATCCCACGGCCTGCCAGGCAGAGATGGGAGAGATGGTGTCAAAGGAGACCCCGGACCTCCAGGTACTGGCTGGGGGACCCCTGCCTCAGCTGAGGGACAGTGACCTGTTTTCAGGATTCCAGTGTGTTTGGGGCTCTGGAGGGGGTCTAAGGGCCAGCTGGATGGTGAGGCACGGTGGGAGTTTCCCAGGGCCCTTAGAGCAGCCCTGGAGGGTCTCTCCTCAGAGTGCCCATTTAGTGATAGACGACTCAGCCTGGCCGATAATGAAGGTCCCATCACATGAGTCCAACCCTGTTGTGAATGATCAATACCATGCGTCCATGTCCCCTTCTCTCTGCAGGCCCCATGGGCCCCCCTGGAGGAATGCCAGGCCTTCCCGGGCGTGATGGGCTGATCGGAGCACCTGGCATTTCTGGTGAGCGTGGAGACAAAGGAGAACCTGGTGAGAGGGGCCCTCCAGGTGAGCAAGGTGGGGAAGGCAGGCAGTGGCAACACGGGCACAGTGCCCATGTGATTGTCATATGAGGGAGGATGGGGATCAGACAGAACCGTGGAGGTCTCCCAAGGGGGACCTATTAAGAGAATCTGAGATTGAGGAGAGACATCAAAAGGTTGTGGGTGGTAGGCCACAATGCAGGGGCCAATGGCTGTGCTCCATGCATCACGGCTGCCATAGAGGAAGCACATGGTGTTGGGTGTGGGAAATGAGTAGTCCTGGGGGGCAGTTCCTAGGGGTGAGGCATTAGGGGAATTCTGAAGGTGTAGGGGGTACCTGGACTAAAGATCCAAGCAGATGGTGTGATTGGGAGCCCCACACGCAGAGGGAAAGTCCGAAGCGCTTAGTAATCCAGGTCCATCAGGAGAGTGCACAGAGAACCACACCTGCCCTGTGGAGGGGCTCTGCCCAGGAACCAGAAAAACCCACAGAGGTGGGCACACAGCATCAAAGGCTGTGGCAGGAGAGGAGAGCGGAGAGGGCTCTGCGGGTGCAAGGCTGCGTGAAAGGACAAGCGTATAGGGAGTGTGGAAGCACCCTCCACGATAGTGGACCCTTGTGACTTGGGGCCTGGGCAGTGGGTATGGACAAGTAGAGGGAAGAATGCCAGGCTCGCAGCTGGTATCACACCTGTTGGCTTGCCCTCATTCTGGATGGGGTTTTCTCTACAGGGCTTCCAGCTTATCTGGATGAGGAGCTCCAAACCACACTCCAAGAGCTCAGACATCAAATCTTGCAATCAAAGGGAGGTAAGGGACCCCTGAGGGCCTTACAGGACAGGGGGTCTCCCGTAGGTTCCCCTCATCCTCAGAACTTAGCAACTTGAGAAACAGTTGTGGATATGCATGTCTTGGGGAAAATAATGATGCTTCCTTTTTTGATGTCTTTGATGGCCCAGAGGGGACAGAGGTAGACACACATTAGCTCCCTACGTCATGGAAAAGCAAGGTCTCTGCCTGCCTTGCTTTCCATTGAATCCCAGAAATTGCAGTTTGGGGCACATAGTAAGACAGTTCATAAGTAATTGTTAAATGCATGAGTGAATGAACAGAATGATGAGAGCACAGAGGAGAATTTAGAAAGACTAGGATTGGAAGACAGAGGGAAGACAGAAAGGCAGAGGTGAAGAGATTGGAGAGCATATAAAGGCAGAGCCCAATTGAGGCAAAGAGGCCAGTGGTCTGACCCAGATTCCCTTGCTCTCAGTCCTCAATTTGCAGGGTTCCATGCTGAAGGTGGGAGAGAAGGTCTTCGCCACCAATGGGCAGACGGCCAATTTTGATGCCATTAGAGAGTCATGTAGCAGAGCTGGCGGCAGCATTGCAGCCCCACAGAGTCCAGAAGAGAATGAGGCCATTGCAAGCATCGTGAAGAAGCACAACACTTACGCCTACCTGGGCCTGTCCGAGAGCCCCACCCCTGGAGTCTTCCACTACCTGGATGACACTCCTGTAAATTACACCAAATGGTACCCTGGGGAGCCCAGGGGTCGGGGCAAGGAAAAGTGTGTGGAGATGTACACAGATGGGCAGTGGAATGACAAGAGCTGCCATCAATACCGACTGACCGTCTGTGAGTTTTGAGCAGGCATCAAGGCCGCAGGAGAGATAGGGTCCCGCCTTGCTTTCAGCTGCCAACCTGTGGATCCCCCTGTATATCCTTTTCAACAACATTTACCTGTGGCTATTCCAGTTGGAGGCATTCTTAGCCACTCCACTCCCCATTAGGGCCCTCACGCTTCCCTTTGATCACTAATCAATCTGACATGCCCCCTGGCGCTCCTCAGCACTGCACTCTAGGCAGCCACTGCTACCTTTGCCCTTTGTCGAGAGAGATGGAGACTCCTTTCTTCCTCCTCTTGTCCAGTTCCTTCATTTATAGGTGGTAACAGTGAGGTCCTGGGATGGAAGATCTCTCCAAAATCACACAAGGGGTGCCTGCTTCCTGGCTACCTCTACTCTTTCTCTGCAGCCCACTCCCTGCCCAGTCTCATCGATTTAGCAGTTCTGGTAAATCATATGATAGAAGCAGGTGGATTTCTGGGATATTCCAAATTTGGGGGCTATCTGTCAGTCTGTGGCCTCTGAGGAACCATGTGGTCAGTCTTCCCATGGGGTCAGAGGGCCAGCTGGTGTCCCAGCATGATGAAGGCCAACCCACTATAGTGATTGGCATATATGATCCACTTTCTTGAGTCTTGGGGTACCAACTCAACTCCCTGACCTAAAAGCAGCAAGCCTAGACCTCTAGAGAAGACCTTAACCCCATCCCAGACATAACCCAAATAACTTCCTTCTGATAAATATACTAGTATCTCCATACAACTTCAGATCTCATGAGGTGTTCACACCACTCATCACACCATTGACTATTTATTGAGCACATGCTATGTACCAGGCACCTTGACAAGCATTTTAACAAATAAATATTATTTAATATTTACCCAATGGTATGGGACCATCATTATTTTCCATCTGAGGACACTGAAACTTAGAGAAGTTAAATGTTTTTGAGTTTATTACATGGAGCAAGAGGCAGAGACTGGACTCAAACCCATCTACATGGACCTGAAGATCATACACATAACCACCCTACTTTCTTACTGAGCAGAGATGATTTAAATAAATCCTGAATGTGTTAACATCAGTCTCCATTGCCCTGGTTCCAAGAAACATCCCATTTCTGTATTTTTATAAATCAACTTAACTGGCTCTGAGCCCCAACTTACCTAAAAAATGGAAAATTCAATCTCAGGTTATGCTTTCTTTGTTGAGTGGAGGGCAACCTGCTCTCCACTTATAGGTTATACAGGTGAATGAGGAGCTACAGAGAATGCCTGGAAGAACAGTAGTGTTGGTGGCTGGCATTAAGATAACTCCTCCTCTAAGTCTATGTATCCATTTTGGGTGGTGATTTCATCTGTTCATTTCCTACGGAGCCACGTGGATGTTTTCCCTAGTCATGGCTCTGTCCCAGGCCTCGGTGAGCCACCCCAGTCTCAGGTCAGCAAGGAATGGGACCATGTCCCAGTGCTCTGTGGGAATAGGATCATGTCCCTATTGGCTTGAAGAGGCAGCCACATATGTGTCCCACCTTCAGAAAGGTCCTCACTCCTTCCACTTTCAAATCTTCTAATGCTCTTCCTCACTGCATATAATTCTTTTTCTTAGGTAAGAGAGAGCTTTGGATCAAAACCCACAAAGCCAGATGGGAATGAGCAGAAATATTTCTCATTCTTTTATGAATGGCAATTTTTTAATCTGGTCACATTGCTACATACGGTTAGGGCCCAGCACAAATTATTGAGCCTTCCCCAAAATTCAAAAGAGCAAGCAGAAGTATATTTTTCCTATTTTGTACATCAACAGTCTAAGTCTCCAAAAATTGATGTTTTCTCATTTCTTATTAGATTTATTTTTTACTTATTTTATGGTTTTATTTGCTATTGTTACTATATTATTTTTATCACATTTAAATTAATTATTGATGGTTTATAAGAAAACTATTGATTTATTTTTTATTGAGCTTATATTCAGCCATCTTTTTGGATTCTCATGTATCTCCTAATATTTCTAATATAATTTATTATCTTATATTTTAAAAGTATATGATTGTATTTAAAAATGACAGGAATTTTTGACTATCCATTATGATATTTACATTTCTTATATATAATTTTTATATATTTAAAGGTGCCAGGAGACCCTATATATTGTTGAAAACCCTCAATGATAAATTATGTTTTTTGGGTGGCCCTGAATGTATAAATGGGAACACTTCCAATATTTCACCATTGAAAATATTGCTTATTTTAAGTCTGACAGATACCTTTTATCAAGGAAAAGAACTTCCCTCTTTTTCCTAGTTTGCCGTGTCTCATTTCAATCATTAACATGTATTGAACTGTATCAGATTATTTTTGGCATTTCCTTTAGTCTAATAACACTAAACTGATGTCTAATATGGGTTGAGTCGTCTCGAATTCCTGGGTGCCAGCATCTGGAGCCCACAGGGGAGAATGAGAGGCTTTAAGTGCCTCATCTTTTAAGATTGGAGAAATGCCCCAAGGATCCCATTATGGAACCTGTAAGGAGGGGGCGGTTCAGTATGAGTGATTTAGTAATTCCTACCCCCATGGTCAGTATAAGGAGGAATAAATAGAGGAAAGAAGGCTGATGCACCTTGGGTAGAAATTATCTCTTCTTCTTCACTCCCTGAAGGAGGAGACTGTACTGTCCTCTTCCTAATCTTTGCAAGTAGGGATGCTCAATTGCTTCACCTTCCTCAATTAAGTCACCTAATGTAGAAATGGAGGGATTATATCCAGTTCTAAAATTACTGAAGTACTAAACCAGTAGATGGACTGATCTTGCTGAGGCATGTGGAGATGGAGAAAGGGGAGAATAGAGCTGGGAACAAGAGTGTTTGGAGGTAATGTGGATTTCCATCAATTGTATGGACTGTGTGAATGCCAATGTCATGGAAGTGAACTGGGGTTTAAATCCTAGTTGTGAACAGGTTGCTTCCCTTGAAGCAGGGACACAGGGGCTCAAAGAACAAGAGACAATGAATTGAAATGTCCACTGATGTGATATGGACGGTAGGAAACATGCAGCTAGAGGCTTATAGGGTCCCTTGTCTGAAGAACTAACTCTTGAGAAGGGTTGTCATTTGTAATCAAAGGGACTGAACAATCAGTCAGGGTGGGCCAAGGAGCAGCACTGTTCCCACTGACATATGGTTCCTCCTGTGAGCAGGTATTGTCTACCATTGGAATCATCATTTTCTCTACACCCCACATATGGCAAGCAGTAAGAGAGAAGGCCTGCCCACCCTTCACTTCAAGAAGCCAGCACTCTATGGCCAGAGTAATGATGAATCAGAGATGAAACTGAGATCTTAATGACAAAACTGGAGGACAATTCATTTGGACTGTTTTAAGTCAACTCTAGAAAGTTTTCATTGCAGGAATAAAATGTATGAAGAATTTTGAGACCAGGTAAACTTCAAATTTTAAGATTGTATATATCTGCAGTAAGACTCTTAAACTTCTTATAAATTAAACTAGAGGCCCAGTGCACGAAATTCATGCATGGGGGGTCCCTCAGCCCAGCCTGCAACGACGCCAGCACCCCTCGCCCCAGCTTCTGGCTCAAGGCCCTGCCCCTTCCCTCCCTCTGTACAGCCGGGGTGGGGACACTGGGCTCGCATCACTGCAAGCCCAGCATTTCTCGCCCTGGCCTCTGGCCTGAGGCCCCACCTCTCCCCTCCCTCCATGTGGCTGAGGCACAGACACTGGGCTCGTGTTACAGGGACTACGCCACTAGCATCCTTCCCCTGCCACTATGGGAACCGCCATCTTTGTCACAGAGTGATGGTTAATTTACATATTACTCTTTTATTAGGTAGGATTAGTGAGTTACATGGATTCATTTTTTGATATTGAACCATCCTTGCATTTCTAAGATATACCTTACTTGTTCTAATAGCTGATACTCTCATCACACTGTGTGCTAGGCACTATACTTGTATTAACTCACGTCATCTTCTTTAGCCCTATTATTCCCAATTTACAAATAAGAATATTGATAAAAATCACAACCACATTAAAACTACAACTAAAAGACAAAATGGCGATCATCCAGAACCACGGGAAAGCTGGATGAGTGGAAGTTGTACAACTAGAGGAAAGAAAAAAGTGCATTGAGGCTGGGTAGGAGGTGTGGAGGCGCCAAGAGCAGAGGTACGGAGGTGTGTGAACCGGGCTGCACCTGGGTGCGCGTTTTTTTTTCAGTCAGGAGATACAAGATCCCGACTGTACGGAACTCATTTCTGGTGAGACTCTAGGGACCCAGACTCCTATGGTAAGAAACTAGACTGTTTGGCATCGGGTCAGAAAGCGAGGGTGGCTTTCTTGCAGAACTGCTTCCAGACATCATTGTTACTGTGGGGGTGCGGGACTCGGGGACTCGGGGACGCGAAGACACTGAGACACGGAGACGCATGGAGACACATGGAGTCACAGAGACGGCCGACGACAGCCATCACTGTTTGCTCTGTCCCGGTGATTCTCTGAGACCCCGCCTCAATCAATTTACAACCCCACCCAAGCTGTGCGCAAATGAATCACCTGCCCTTTTGCAGCCTAACCTAACAAACTGCAGCTGGGTCAGAAAGCTCCAAAATTTCCAAACCCCAAACAAAGAGGAGAAATCTGCAGATCTCGCGGTAGCTCCTGCTGGGTGGACTCACACAGTGGTTGAATTTGCACCTCCTTGGAGATCCAGGAGCCAGTATACCCAGTGGTTAAATACCAGATTTCAACTCCTCATATCCATAAGTGACACACTCAAGAGGCAGACTCAGTGAGCACCAAAGCCCCACTGAAGCAAATCCTGCCCCATAAGAGTGTCTCCAGCACAGAAGTTCTTCCACTATAGACACAGCGGGTCATTGCACTCAATTGGCCTGGAGGTTATTCCCTCCCAGGGATACCAACA